GCCCGCTCATTCCCCTCAGCGCTGAGCCGCTTTGCCCTTGGCTGCTCCCATAAGCCGGGCACGTTGGTGTGCAGCTGAACGCCCTACCTTAGAGAGGCACGTGCCTCCGGCCCTCGCTGGCCTGCCCTTCACCCCTGCCAGTGACATTGGGCCTAAGGAACAGACTTGCTGGCAGCGACCACAGGAGAGGGCGGATCCTGAGGGTTCGGGGAAGCGCCCAGCTGGCCAGCCCTCTCTGTACTCTTCACACCCTGGCAGTCGGTGGTACCAGGCTCAGCCTGGGGTCAGATGCCCAACACTGGAAGAATGCCTGGCGTTGCTCTGCTCGGCACTCACTCGGGGCAGGCCAGTTTCTACGGGAAGACTTACCCAACCCTTGGGCCTCTTATGCTCCGCCCCTTGCCTGAAACGCTGAACCACTTGTGTCCTGCCAACCTTCATTTTAAAATGTGACAGTAGTGCTTCCTGGCAGTACTTACCCTTCCGCACACCCCGTCAGTATCGGGGTGTGCTGGCCAAGCAGAGGGGCGCCCACTCCGGAAGGGCTGTGATGGGAGATATCATGAAGCCATCACCATCAAGTGGGCCTAGCGCGTGAGGGGGAGGGGGACCTCAGCTGGACTAGATGGTGCAGTTTCCATGGACGGGAGGCCCTGAGGACTGACTAGGGGTCAGCCAGGTGAGGGGCGGGTTTGTGGAGTTGGAAGCCCTTGCATGGCAGGGGGCAGGCAGCCCGGGCTGTGCCAGCGTGCTGTGGGTTCCTGCAGGTGGGGGGTTCCCGCTGGTGGAGAGGAGACAGGTAGGAACCTTCGGCTGTGTGGCTGCCCAGATTTGAGATGGCAGCCTGGTCTAAGTGGGGAGAAGGGGTGACAGCAGTGGGTGGAGTAGAGGTACTCTGGAGGCAGTACAGGCAGGCGTGGGGACATGCGGGACAGCCAGGGCAGGTGTGGTACCTTCCCTGCAGGTGCAGAGCACAGGCTCACTGGGGCGATTACCCAGGTGTGGAGCTCCGGGGCAGGTCCGGGCAGTCAGTTACACCCCAGCGTTGGAAGGGTAACTGAGTGGCCCGGGGAAGACCAGGAAAGCTTGGTATTACAAAGCCTGGGGCCTACAGAAGTCCTACTCTGAAGGGGAGCCCCCCACCTCCAGTCCCCCCGCCCTGGGAGATGCTGGAGGGTATGCAAATGCTGACCAGGAGGAGGGGTGGAGAGGCTGGAGATACCCGGACCTTGAGACTGTGGGAGAGGAGCTCAAAGCTGGGTAGTGGGAGCCGCCCTCAAAGTTGGCTGGAAGGTTCTCTGGTGCCTCTGAGGAAGCATTCCCGGCCATTTGCAGGGGAGCAGGTGCAGGGTGGGAGGAGACAGAATGGGCAGGCTGAGTGCACCGGTGGGAGGCAGCAGCTGACCCTGCCTTGCAGGCAAGCAGGTGAGGCCGGAGAAGGGGGGAGGGGCACTGGATTTACCTGCTTGGGCTCTGAGGGTGTGTTAAGAAGGAACTTCAGCTGGCTTGGCAGGAGAAGGGGCTGAGGGGGAAGGCGGGACTGGGGCTGGGATTGCTGGTGAGGCCCAAGGACGGGAGGCTAGAGTGGAGGCTGTGGCGGGGCAGAACTCCCTTCATGGGTGACAAAGTGAGGGAGGTGAGGGGGCTGGTGCTCCCCCTGGGCAGCAGCACGAGGGAGGCCAGCCTCATGGGGCACAGTGGGGACAGGTGCCATGCAGGGAAGGAGGGGCAGTCAGGTGGCAAAAGCCCCAGGGGAGGTGGATTTTCTACCGAGGGTGGAGAGTCAGGAGTCTGGAAAAGCAGTCACTGAGTCTGACCTCTCCTCCCCGCCCTGGGGTTTCTGGGTGCAGGAGAGAGAGCAGCAGGGAGCCGCAGGCCAAGTGCCGTTGAGGGGCCATGTTTTAGTCCAGCCAGATTTCAGAGAGCAGAAGAGAAATGGGAGAAGCGAAGGGGTCCTGAAACAGAAAGAGGTGTGCAAGGACGTGACCCCGACTGTGAAGACCCCAGCTTCTACCCTACTGAAGCCTGGACTCCATGAACAGAGTCCTTACTGAACTCCGTTTTCTTATTTTGGTATTGAGTTCAACATTCGCACTGAGATTGAGACAGGGGACAGAGCTACTGTACTGGTTGTATTACGTCGGATTTATTTTTTAACTCCTCAGTTTCTTAAAAATCTAAGCCAACTTTTTGTTGAATACAGATGATGTCTACCGTAGAAAAGCCTCAGAGAGACAGTATCAGAGAAGGCTGGAAGATGCAGCAGAGACTGAGCTGCAGCAGTCAATGAAATGAAGTTTCACTGCTAAGACCTGCATCTCCAGAGCACTGTTAAAGTTTAGTCTCTCCTCGACTACTTCCCGCTCAGCGAATCTAGTCCATGGAATGTTAAGGCAAGCATCGAACGAGACTCTTCAGTGCACTCTGAGTTGTTTGAAAGCCTCTTTGTTTTTGGTCAACACATGATAACTTTGTTTACTGTCTTGCAGAATTCAAATTAAATCATGGACATAAAAGCAAGATCTTCTCTTGGGCCAGCAGGTGGTGTGGTTAAAGTGCTGGACTCCCACATGGCCGACTGTGGTTTGCGTCCCAGACCTGGTGGCTTGCTTTCTCTTTCTGACTCTCTGGTGAGCACATGTGCCCTACAGCAAGTTAAAAAGTAAAAATATTAAAGCTTAAAAAAAGGGACCAGCAGTTAGCATAATGACTATGTCGCTGGACTCCCATGTAGTCGACTGCGGATCAAGTCCTGGACCCGGTGGCTTAAAACTCACGCCAGGTGCATGTGCGTGCGTGCCCAAGATCCCGAGTGGAGAATGGAGAAGGGATTGCGGTGTGGCCATCCCCCCTGGGGGGTGATTTCTTGCTGAATCTCTGTCTGGTGAGCTCACGTGCCCTAAAGCAAAAAAACCTCTCCAAAAAAAGAAAAAAATATTTTTGAATGTTTATTACCATAGGGTGTGTGTACTCCTCAGAGGGAAAGTGACAAATCACTCCCCAGGGGCATGGCCATGCCACATCCCTCCTCCTCCATTCTGTAGGGATTTTGGGCATGCACACTCACGCACTTCAAGTCACCAGGACCAGGACTTGAGCTGCGGTCAGCCTTGTGGGAGTCCAGCACCTTAACCACTATATGACTTGCTGGCCCCTACCTATTCTTGCTAGTACTCTTGTCTGGCTCCACCAGCCCATGAGCTGGACCTGCATGAGGACCTGGGCTACGACAGGCTTCTGCTCCGTGGTAGACGCTGCTCGTTCAAGCAGCTGCTCAAAGTAGGCTTAGAGGGGAACCAGCAGTTAGCGTAATGGCTATGTCGCTGGACTCCCACGTAGTCGACCGCGGGTCG